TCAAACAACCACTTTTTGTATAATTTTTCCACACTTTAAGGTATATGTCTTTAGTAACATTGTATAGCAACGTAGTAAACTGGCGACAGTTCTGTTATATGAACAACCTAAACAAGCAGCAGTTCTAGTGCCCAGTGTTAGATTATTACCAAATCGATGGTTTCTGTTGAATGATACTCAGTCTGCTTTATTAAAATTGGACAGATCTTCCAGAATACAAAATGTCTGTCTCAGTAGGAGCAAAGTACATCTCTAATGCAAAACCAAAAAAATAATGGGAAGCCTTGCAGCATGCTAAACTAAGATTATTTTTTTTTAAGAATGAGCACATACACAGAGTAAAGAGCCATTTGTAATCTCTCTTCTTGTATGAAAATATCGTTATAAAACATGTGACTGAAAAATATGTGCTACACAAAGTCGTACAGCAGCGTAAAAAGAGGAAAGCAAAATAGACAGATATTCCCTGAAATACAGTCAGAACAAAGAACTGAAAGGGCATGTCAGACATATCAGGGATGAAGAGAAAAGTTCTGTGCGACTGCATACAGGGAGGCCCTTCCAATCTGATACTATCTAAAGAAAAATGAGAAGAATAGTGGAACTTAAATGAAGCATCTACTTTAACCCTCACAATTTGTGTATATGCAAAATTAGCTCAACTAGGTATGGAAAAAACATTAACAAGTTACCTAGTACTTTATTAGTTTAACATCCGGTGTTAGGTCACTGTTGTCAGCTGCCAGATTCCTTATTCTGATTTCCTCAGCCTATAATGTAATTTGACTACATACCATCTATCAAGTTTGCTTCAAGCACATGCTAGAATTGGACTCTGACACGTAAAACCATGAATGTTTCAGACGGTCTGGAAACTGTTTATATAAAAGCTTGCCTCACCTGAACATCCTAGGAATTTGCAGAGCATCACCTGCATCAAGCAATGAGCTGCATGTTATGTCTCAGTCTGATTTACGCTTGTTCTTATGTGAGCTAAGTAGATAAGCTAAAGAGAACAGCTGTATTTAAATCAGTAAACCACTCTGAAAAAACACAGAAGATATGTTTTTAGCATAAAAAAGATCTGGAAAGAAATGATGTTATTTAGATCTGTCCACGTTGTGCTACTTGCATATTTCAGTAAACTGCCTTCAAAGCTCAGTATCATAACTCTCCCTAACCCTATTGAATGTAGTTACTTGTTTTTCTTTTTTAATTAATATATAATTTAAATAACTAACATAATTTAATAAGCAGTTTAATAGGTGAAGTTTTTAATAAACATTAATTTTTAAATCACAGCTTTATTATTTCTTTTATGTCTTTATATTTCTTCCTGTATGCCTTCTAGGACAAAAATTCTGTAGGTCCAGACCAGGATAAGACAGCAATGGATCTGGCTGCTGAGCAGTTGCGATTATGGCCAACTCTGAATAAACAAACACAGCAGGAGCTAGTCCAGAACGAGGAAAGCACAGTTTTCAGTCAGGCAATTCATTTTGCTAACCTCATGGTCTACCTGCTAGTACCACTGGATACAAGTAAGAACAAGTTGTTGAGAACCTCGGCTACAGGTGACTGGGAGAGTGGAAGCAACAGTATTGTCACAAACAGGTGGGTACACAGGTTCAGTGGTAATCACTCAGGATGGGCCACAGTTTTCAAAAGCTGCTTAGTTTTCAGGACTTGTTCTAAATACCAGATTAGTTCAGTATCTTCTTTTCAAGCTCATTAATTAAGCAGAGCAGAAGTCTAACATGATTCCTCTTAAATAACAGAACTTAATCTGGAGTAATTACCACCATTTAAAGAAACATAAAAATTTTATTGCTGCAGTAATAATTTTTAATTTAGTAATGCAGGTGTTGAAGACCAACATAGGGTATGATAAGAAAGAAGACAGCAGCCCAGAACCTAGTCTGTTTGTTTTTATATAACTTGAAAAAAACAGTGCATGAACCTAAAATCAAGAAAGCATTTGTATAGCATCCATAAAATCACAACTTCTGTGCAGCAGCTGCAAGGAAGAAAGGCACTAAGGTCACAAAAAGCAAGAGGGCTAAACCACTGTGGCAAAGGTTAAATTGCTAAGGAGGCAGGAGGAGTCCAGTTACATTCCCTAGCCTGCAAGTCCAGGACATTTCGTAATAAGCCTTCCTCCCTCTCTATTTATTGTCTTCGTTATCAGCTCCGATCTGTCAGAATTCCCACCCAATAAAATTGAACGCTGACATCAAGTAAGAGATAGGCAGGCTATCAGTATCAAACTCCCCGTGGCTAATCATTTCTGCTGATTAAGCACCTCTAAACTCAGGCATTAGGACATGCTTAGTAGACAGGTTGCAGTCTATGATGCAGTGTGTGAACCTGGCCCTTACTACAGGAAGCATTTTTAGTTGTTCAGAGTACACCTCCCACCTTGCCTGCATTTTCTATCTGATGCACATGAAATTTTTCTTACGGTCTGTATAGCTTATGAATGCTTTGCTCTGCAACCAAAATTCATTTAATATATCTTTCTCTTTGTAACTGAGTATTTAACCATGGGTTGCACACAATGTTCTTGACTCTCTGAAGAGAAGAAATGGAGCTCACTTCCAAGGAGCATATTTTCTCTTCTGGGCTTGTTTGTGCTGGACTCATGGAGGGAAAGTTCCAAGTCACCATCCATACAGTTCCGATAGGGTCAATGACAGTGAAAGTAGGATATAATTACAGTAGCATCATATGCTTTTAGCAAGGTTTATGTACTGTAACTAGAAAAAAAATCCCACAGCTTGTCTGTGTCTAGCAAGTGACATGAGCATCACCAGCTGAATTTTTCACACTTGAAAATGTCTTTTTATTTATGTCTGTAGTATTGCAGGCAGTGTTGCAGAGAGTTATGACACTGAAAGTGGATTTGAGGACTCTGAGAACAATGATGTTGCCAACGCAGTTGTACGCTTCATCACCAGATTTATAGACAAGGTTTGCACAGAGAGCGGAGTTACACAGGATCACATCAAGGGTCTTCATTGCATGATACCAGGTGAGAATTGTGACAAAAAAGTGGTGTGTAATCTTTCTTTTTTCTTTTTTCTTTTTTTTTCCTAGTGAGAGAAATCCACTTTTTAATTTCAGTCACTTTCAGTAAAGTTAGAAAGGTAGATTTCTTTTCTAGACTATAATTGCTGTTGAACTTCATATAATTAGTCCCTTGATATTTAATGAGAATTTCAGAATATTAGAGTTTTCGTTAGATTGCAACTTTATTTTTCATCTTATATCAGACTTCATTTATAGCATTACTGCTTTCCAGGCATTGTAGCAATGCACATAGAGACCCTGGAGGCTGTCCATCGTGAGAGTAGGCGGCTTCCACCAATACAGAAGGCAAGTATTATGAAACATATTTGTATTCTTTACAAGTATTAGAATCATGCAATTTAGTCATCTTTTCCCCCCTCATAATGTTAGGAGGAAACATCAAAACATTGAAAGAAAATTTCCACCAGTGATAAATAAAGTGCTTGGCTTTGGTCTCATGAAGTTATGAAACTAGTAGAGCCAAACTTCATATCATAAACAAGTTGTTGCATGCCCACTGATTTTTGAAACCCAGTTTTTGAGTCCAAACGCCATCTCCCTTCTTTGGACTCAGGCTCATAACAATTTTATTTTGAAGTTTTATAAGCCGAATATTATAACTAGGCTGAGGTATTACACTGGTATCACCATTACACTTACACTTTCATTTACTTGCATCAGCCCAAGATTCTACGACCAGCTTTACTGCCAGGAGAAGAATTTGTTTGTGAAGGTCTCCGTGTGCTACTGGATCCTGATGGAAGAGAGGAAGCTACAGGAGGCCTGCTTGGAGGTCCTCATATCCTCCCTGCTGAAGGAGCTTTGTTCCTTACCACTTACAGAATTATATTTAAAGGCACTCCTCATGATCAGCTGGGTAAGAAAAATTAACAGTGGTGATTGTGGTCCTTCAGATAGGCAGGACTTTGAGCTGGCCTATCCACCTATATCAGAATGTATATACCTCAGTATAATTTTTCATGTTTCTCAGATAAGTATAATCTCTGAGTATAGCTTTTTATCACTACATATAACAATGATTGATTTTGCATTTAACTTAACTAGAACTTACTTCTTCAGATGAGGCACTAGATGCTAAATGTTTGGTTATTCCTGCGTAATGGTAAATATTTAGAGTGCTGTCTTCAGTAATTTATGTAATATAAAATCATAATATATGCTTGTCTTAGAAGAAACTTCAGCAGACTGCCACATGGTATTACAGGCTTTTTTGGACTAGCTAAAGTCGGAGACAGAAAATAAGGACATTCTTGACCATACTTTAGTAATTTCCATGGACTTTTGAAAGGATGAAACGCTTGGTATCTTTATATCTCAGTTCCATCTGTAAAGTTGGTCTAATAATGCTGCTTTACAAAGCAACTTTGTTGAGCTTCTTCACCACGAAGAGAGAACATGCTGTGTGAGATCTGCAGCTTCCACTACCCCTAGCTTTTCATGGAACAGGTTTTTTCAGCCACTGGAAGTGTGTTAAATGAAAAATACTAATGGTTTAGTGTTCTCCTTAAAATTGTTATTATTATTAACTTAACATCTGCCATTTTTGAAGCAGACTCATTCATTGTTTATAAGTTCTATAATGCAATATGAAATTTCAATAAGCTTGAAACTGTTTCTTCACCCCCTACCAACCTAGATTTTGGGGGTGCATTTCCATCATGTAGAAAGACTCGAAAGGAAGATGAATATTTTTCTAATCATCCCAGCTGAAATTAAGCAGAAATTCATTTTACAAATAATACTGTAGGAATTTACTAACTTTTCATGTATTTTGTCTGAAATTAATTCAATACCATTATTTCCATGTTGCTTTGTACTTATTCATTCCCATCTGTTCAGAGTACAGTGTGACCAAACCAGATCTAGTTCTGTGATCTAACAAGTGTCTGTAAATACAATTTTATGGTCCTCAGTTGGAGAGCAGACGGTGATCCGGAGCTTTCCTATTGCATCTGTTACGAAGGAGAAGAAGATCACCATACAGAACCAGCTGCAGCAGAGTATGCAGGAAGGACTGCAGATCAGTTCAGCTAGCTTTCAGGTAAAAGAAGTTTTTTAAAAAATTATGTGACAACGCAGCTCAGAATACTTACGAGCGGCGCCTTGTCCTGGTGTTTGTGAAGAGTTCCTTTTCCTGCCTGGTGAAGTCAGTGGAGAATGCAGTCCTGTCATAGAAACCCTCCATTTCTTGGCCTGGCTGATATTTACAGAGGGTTACCATTTTCAATCTCTTAATGTGAGTAAGTAGAGGCCTAGGCAGGCCAGTGGAAACATGCTTTCTCTCTCCTCCAGCTACATGGAATGGATATGGAAAAGCTACAAATACTGCTTTCTTCTCAGGAGTTGTCACTTTACCAGCTTTCTGTAAAAATCCATGGCAGATAGGCATGGTGCATCTCACATGGAATCTGTGCTTCCAGGAGTCTATAGGGTAGCCACCTTTGGCCAGAACCAATGAGCCCCCATATGACTTGAACAGATCCTGTTTTCCTGACTTCTGCAGAGATCCTGGTAGTTTCCTGACTGCAGGATCCCTCTCAGTGCATTCAGCAGAAACATGTACTGCTGGGCAATTGGCAAAGATGGATTTCTAAGGTTTAGGAGTTGTGAAGTCTCTGAAGTCCTCCCTACATGTTTCTTCTTGGTGGTGATTTTAACTCTGGTGAAACCCTAAGAGGTGGAAAATTGAAGGCAAGGAATTTTATATCGTGGACTGGAAGTAAAGTGCAGTACTTCAGATATGAAATACTTTGTTGGGGTGGCTGACTGCAGAATATGTTTTTGTTGAGAACAATAACTTCACATTTGAAAATAAAATAGATCATCAACATTTTACTAGTTCCTTACAATAACGGACATTATTTAGACGATCATCCTTCAGTATCCCATTCAAAAGCATAAGATGAGCAATACAAGTGAGTACAACAACCAAAAGAAAGTTGGTTTTGTGGATTTTTGGGAGGACTTCAGGCGGACTTATTTTCCAAGAAATCTTTTTACCAGAATAGTTAGCATGCTTTAACGATGTGCTAAATACAGACAGAGCTCAGTGTTTTAGTGTGGATTCTGGTCAACATCATCTTTGCTTTTGTTTAGCATAGTTTTGTATTAGGTTACGAGAACAAAAACAATCGACAAACAGTTTATATTCTGTTCCCTTTGTAACAGCTTGAGTTCAATACAGTATGAAATAGCCCCTCCTCTTTGGTCATTACTTATGATTTTCAGAAGGTTTTGGCTGCAGTTATGCTATTTAATGTCTTTAAAACTTCAGATCAGTGTAACCCCTAACGATTCAGGAGAACCTTTCAAGGAAGTCCTAGAACAACATAGTTATTAGTCATTTGGAAAGTATTTACAAAACAAGTGACATTAAAAAAGCGGCGATGACATGCACCATGTAGATGGCAAACAGAATACATGTAAGGTGTATAGGTATGTGCTCGGAAAGAAAGCTGTAGGATATTTGTTTGCTTTTTCCACATCCTTAAAGTTCTTTGGGGCCCTTTTACGAATTCCCCATTTTCTCTCTTTTAATTTTTTCCTCTCCCTGGATTGCTGACTGTCATCCTTTCCATCGAAGATGATGGGATGAGATTATGTTTTGTTCCAAAACCTTTCAAAAAGCATTTTTAGTGTGGTGGATGGATCAGTTTTGAATAGTACAAGGTTAGTTCCTTTTTAAGGATCAGATTTCAATATTAATTTTTTTTTTTTTTATTAGCAGTTTTCTATACTTTGCAAGGTGAGGCAAAAATTGGAATGATGAAGTAATGGAAGTGTAATGGTTGGGATGTATGTATGCTGAAATTGTTGATTTGATGAGAGTCTTTGAAGTGCATTACCAACCTTACTTCCCAGTTCAGGGGCAGAGCTGGCAGAGTATTTCCAGGCTAAGCTGTCCCATGTGACTAGTATTTGAACTGCTGTAGACATCTTAGTGCCAGCACTACTACTTGGATTTACCAAAATATTTTGCTCTTGATATTACGAGAATTCCAGATGCTTCTTAGTGAAAATATCTTGGTATTTAGGACATACGTGTAAAAATGAAATAAAAATTAATAAACTGTTTAATATCCCTCAAAATCTGTAAGAGATATATACATACATTTGTATTTTCTGATGGGCATAGTGTTGCATAAGTGTAGGAATTTTGCTAATATGTTTTAGGATCTTTATATCTCTTTAATTCTGTAATTCTTTTTTTCCATTTCTTACATGTCCTGTCTTTAATATGCAGTTAATTAAAGTAGCATTTGATGAAGAAGTAAGTCCTGAAGTGGTGGAAATATTTAAGAAACAGTTAATGAAGTTCCGTTATCCTCAATCTATCTTCAGCACTTTTGCATTCGCAGCTGGGCAAACAGCACCACAGATAATTTTACCAAAACAAAAAGAAAAGAACACTTCATTCCGGTATAGTCATTCTTCTTTTATTACTAATGTTCTTGTTTAGTATTAGTCAAATGCATTGAACAGTCTGACAGCTTTGCAGAACTGAAGACCATTCAAGCACTTTTTTGGGGAAGTCAAAGTAAGTGATTTTGGTAGAAGTAGGTGCTATTCTGCATCTACTTATATTTACCGAATAAAGGGGAAATCAGTGTGATATACATGTCTATTTCATATGGGAATATATTATTTTCCAAATTTCAGGCTGCGGTAAATTTGAACAGGCATCTCATTACATTTCGAAACACGCTGTAAGTAGCATCCGTAGCTATGCAGACAATGCCAACATAAAACCCAAATTTCTGTGTATTACTTCATAGGTTAATAACCTCATGTGGGTTAGAATTAATTTTACTCTTAGTACAGTCTGTACAGATGTCCTAGTCTGTTTTAATCTAGAGTTTAAGCTTTGGGTCCTCTTTTGAGGTTTGTTATACATCATTTTTTGCTAAACTAGATGGATCATTACTCTGTTCCAGAGACCGAGTTCTTGTCATTCTCTGTTGATTACTGCATTGTTGAACTAGGAAAGTAGAATCCCAAGGTAGTCATGGAATCCTAAACCTTCAGGGTTATTTCTCTCTTTCCTGCCTTTACTTTGTCCACTTTATAAATTTATCACACTGCTAGCAAAATACAAATGCTTAAAGAAAATTATGGCTGTTTATTCATTACAATTATACATAACAGACACAAATTTGTCTCGAAATAATAAAGTTTTTGTTTAAAAACTTAATATGGGAAGGTTTTTTTCTGGAGGTTATAATTTTTATCTTTGTATTAACTGAAAAATTATTAAATACATTTTATTTGGGTAAGTGGGTTCGTCATAAAATCTGTACATCCTATCAGGAAGAACCATATGTATCCTTCTAAATACTTATATTTCTATGAATTTATAGTACCTTCTCAAAAAGCATTGTGAAAGGAGCAAAACGTGCTGGGAAGATGACGATTGGACGCCAATATTTATTAAAGAAGAAGACAGGCACAATAGTGGAAGAAAGAGGGAATCGTCCAGGCTGGAATGAAGATGATGATATCTCTGGTAATAGTAAAACTTTTTTTTGTGTGTTAGTTAAATCCATCCCATTATGTTATTGAGTAAGAGATGTCTTCAAGAAGAAATTGCAGAGTCTTCCTAGGCAGGAAAGAGAAAGGTTTCAAATACGTACATTTAGTGAGCGTTTTCTTTTGTGATGACATGGCAGAAGAGGAAGCTGACTTCATTCAGTGGGAAAGCAAAATACTGGATTATTATTTTTCAATTATCAAACTATTTGCGTATAGTATCTTTTTATCGTTTTTTACATCATAGTAGCGTAGATAGAGTAGCACAGAAGCATGCTGTAGCTTCCATTTATTGTTAGACATCATGACATCTGCAATTAGGCTATGATGAGAAAGCACTATTTGGTGATATTCAAGAAAGCGAATACTACAGGAGATTTTTGTGGATTTGGAAGTAAGTGATTTCTGGAAACAGCAGAATACATTACTGAAAATAGCATTTTTCCAAATTTTGGTTGAAAAGATTTGGGGACAGAAGGTAGAAAGTGATTTTGGCACTTTATAGTTCGTGTGATGGTGTGGAGTTTGACTTTATTCCAAATACTTCTTTTCCTACCATGTGCTGCTGTCAGTACGTCCTTATCTGGACCAGTGCTAATTTATAATAAACCACTAGAGGGAACCAGATTCTCCTGTACATGAACAGGTATTGTTTTGTCATACCATGCTTGCTTTTTTAAAAAAAAAATAGCATTTCAGATTAAAAAAGTGTTTAGCAAACACTAACAATTTCTTCAAAACATCAAACAAGTGAAATTTTCTTTTTGAATGTTTGGTCAGTGAGCAAGGAAACTTCCGTGACGTAGGAGCAGATGTGTAAAAGTCGTCTGAAGCAATACTGTCTCCGTTCTCTCCAAAATGGAAGAAAGCCATTCCAGGAAAGCTAAAAAATACTCTCTTCTTTCATTCCAGATAAAAGTGGTGGAAAAAGGCAAAAAGAAATAATTACGAAATACTGAATGTCTTTACAGTGCTAAAAAATTACATTCTCAATTGAATTTCCAGCATCTTCCTTAAGTGCTGAGTTAGTGTGTGTTCTTGAATTGCAGATTCTTTGTGTCAGAAGCAATTCTGCAGGCTGTTTCTGTGTGTGCATTTGGGGTGATTTTGTGTCCTTCGCCCAGAGACACCAAGCACAGTCATACCTGTGTATTCGTACTTCTCTTGACGGTGAAGAAATTTTAAGAGCCTTTGCGTTGTTGATGTACAAAACAGCTACGTGATTCCATGAACACAGGTGTTACATGAACATTAGTACTAGTCACTTTTTCCTCCCCTAACTGTATATAAAAATATAAATCGTGATTCTTCCTATCTGCTGCTTTCCAGATGCTTTGACTGGGAAACGTGTAAGGTGATCTGAGTCTGACAGATTGCTTTTCTCTCCATGCTGCACTGACACCTCGGGTATAGTCAGCTGACAACAGTAGTAACAGACAGAATACAAGTAGCCATAGGAAAGTTGCTATTTAATCATAGAATCATAGAATG